ATTTTTAAAAATTAATAAACTATTTTTTAGGTTCACAGAAAAACTGAGCAGCAAGTACAGAATGTTCCCATCTACTTTCTAATCCCGCTCACGCACAATCTCCCTATCAACATTCTGTACCAGAGTGGTACTTTTATTACAATAGATGAACCTACAAGGATTCCTCATTGTCACCCAAAGTCCACAGTTAACCTTAAGATTCACTCTTGGTGTTGTACATTCTATGGGTTTTGACAAACGTGTAATGACCTGTATCCACCACTGTAGTATCATTCAGAACAGTTTCACCGCCCTACAAGTCTTCTGTGCTCTGTTTATTTACCTCTTCTCCCCCTTAATGACTGAAACCACAGATCCTTTTACTGTCTCCATAGTTTTGCCTTTTCCAGAATGTCATATAGTTGGAATCATATAGTCTGTAGCCTTTTCAGATTGGCTTCTTTCACTTGGTAATATGCAATTAAAGTTCCACTATGTCTTTTTATGACTTTTTTTGAGATGAGAAAGTCAGTTAACTATATTTATGTGAGCATGTGGGTCTATTTCTGGGATCTCTATTCTTTTCACTTAATATTTGTCTATTCTTTCACTACTATCACATTGTCTTGATTACTATAGTTTTACAGAAGTCTTGAAGGGTCAGTTCTCTGACTTCGTTCTTCTTCAATATTGAGTTGGCTATTCTGGGTCTTTTGCCCCTCCCTATAAACTATAGAATTGGTTTGTTGATATCTACCAAATAACTTGCTGGGGCTTTGATTGGGACTGTGTTCAATCTATAGATCAAGTTAGGAAAATCTGACATCTTGACAATATTGAGTCTTCCTATCCATGAACATGGAATATCTCTCCATTTATTTAGTTAGTCTTTGATATCTTTCACCAGAGTTTTATAGTTTTCTTCATATAGATCTAGTACATGTTTTGTAGATTTATACCTAATAATTTCATTTCTCAGGATGCTAATGTAAATGGTAATGTGTTTTTAATTTAAAATTTCACTAATTCGTTATTAGCATGTAGGAAAGTGATTAACTTTTGTATGTTAACCTTATATCTTGCAATCTTATTATAATCACTTATTAGTTCCAGGGGTTTTTTTGCTGTTGTTGATTTTTCCAGATTTTCTACATAGAAAATCATGTATTCTGCACACAAAGACAATTTGAGCCAAGGCCAAACAGAGAGGAGCCTGTGGACAGCCAGACACCCATGATCAGGAGAATTAGGTGACTTTACACAGAGTGAACTGCAAAGCAAAACAACCAGAATAAAAGCAGCTGTTGGCTCTTCTCCTTATGGATAGGGCTCTGACAAAGCTTCCCAATTAACTGAAATAAAAAATATTTTTTCTTTCAGTATATAAAAAAGACAGGTTTAGTTCTTCTTTCCTAATCTATATGCTGTTTCTTTCCTTTTCTTATCTTACTGTATTATCTAGGGCTTCTAGTATGATGTTGAAAAGCAGTGGTGAGAGTAGACATCCTTGCCTTGTCCCTGATCTTAGTTGGAAAGCTTCAAGTTTCTCACCATTAATCATGAGGTTAGCTGTAGGTTTTTTGGTAGATGTTCTTTTTTTGTTTTTAGAGATGGGGTCTTGCTATATTGCCCAGGCTAGTCTTGAACTCCTGGCCTCAAGAGATACTTCTGCCTTGGCCTCCCAAAGTGTTGGGATTATAGGTGTGAGCTACCATGCCCAGACTGGCCTGTAGACCTTCTTTATCAAGTTGAGGAAGTTCCCCTCTATTTCTAAGTTGCTAAGAGTGTTTTTTGGTTTTTATTTTTTTTTATCATGAATGGATGTTGGATTTTGTCAGACGCTTTTTCTGCATCTATCAATATAATTGTATGATATTTCTTTCATAGCCTGTTGATGTGATGAATTACATTAACTGAATTTTGAATGCCAAACCAGCCTTGCACACCTAGGGTAAATCCTACTTGTTTGTGGTACACCATTCCTTTTATACATTGTTGGATTCGATTTGCTAATATTTTGCTGAACACTTTTGCATATATGTTCATGAGATATATTGGTCTGTAGTCCCCTTTCCTTCTAATGTCTCCTTTGTCAGGTTTTCGTATTAGGGTAATATTGGCCTGACAGAATGAGTTAGAAAGTATTCCTTTTGCTTCTAACTTCTGGAAAAGATTGTAGAGAATTGGTATAATTTCTTCCTTAAATGTTTGGCAGAATCCACTAGTGAACCCTTTGGGCCTGGTGCTTTCTGTTTTGGAAGGTAATTAGTTCAATTTCTTTAAAAGATATAGGCCTTTTCAGATTGTCTATTTCTTCTACATAATTTTTGGCAGATTGTATCTTTCAACGAATTGGTCCATTTCATCTAAGTTATCAAATTTGTGAGCATAGAATTGTTCGTAATATTCCTTTATCATCTTTTTTTTAAGAGACAGAGTCTTGCTCTGTTATGAAGGCTGGAGTACAATGGTGCAATCATACCTCACTGCAGCCTTGAACTGCTGGGCTCAAGCAATCCTCCTGTCTCAGCCTCTCCAGTAGCTAGGACTACAGGCATGTACTTATGTACTTCCATGCCTGGCTAATTAAAAAAAAAAAATTGTAGATATGGGGTCTATCTATGTTGCCCAGGCTGGTCTCAAATTCCTGGCCTCAAGCAATCCTCCCACCTTGGCCTCCCAAAATGCTGGGATTATAGATGCGAGCCACCGTGCCTGTCTATTTTTTTTTTTTTTTTTGAGACACAGTCTCGCTTTGTTGCCTGGGCTAGAGTGCCATGGCATCAGCCTAGCTCACAGCAAAGTCAAACTCCTGGGCTCAAGCAATCTTCCTGCCTCAGCCTCTTGAGTAGCTGGGATGCTCCAGGCAGAGTGCAGTGGCATGATCATAGCTCACTGCAACCTCTTACTCCTGGGCTCAAGTGATCCTCCTGCCTTGGCCTCCTAAGTACCTTGGACTACAGGCTTGCACCACCACATCTGGCTAATTTTTTTCTATTTTTAGTAGAGACAGGGTCTCTCTCTTGCTCAGGCTGTTCTCAAACTCCGGACCCCAAGAGATCCTCCCACCTGGGCCTCCCAGAGTGGTAGGATTATAGGCGTGAGCTACCACAATGCCCTCTTTTTGATTCTTTCTTAGAATTTCCATCTCTCTGTTTACATTGTCTATCTGTTTTTTGTCTACTTCTCCCATTAAAGCCTTGAGCATATGGGTCATCATAGTTTTTTTTTTTTTTTGGAGACAGGGTCTTGCTCTATTGTCTGGGCTAGAGTGCAGTGGTGTCATCATAGCTCACTGCAACCTCAAACTCCTGGGCTCAAGCTATCCTCCTCCTGCCTCAGCTGCCCAAGTACCTGGGACTACAGGTGCATGCCACCATGCCCAGCTAATTCTTAAATTTTTGTAGAGAGGGGGTCTCGCTGTTGCCCACGCTGATCTCGAATTCCTGGCCTCAAGCAATCCTCCCACCTCAGTCTCCACCCCACCTGGCCTAGAAGTTTTTTTTAATGTTTTAGAGTTATTTCCACATTAGTACTATAATCTCCATCAATCTTTTGTAGAACACATTATTTACATCATTAGACAAACATTTACATTTATTCCAATTTTCCACTATTATAAGCAATGCTACAATGAACATCTTCACATGTACAATTTTATACATATCTTATTTCTTTAGGATAAACTTCTAGAAGTAGAACTGCTGTAGCAAAATTTTTCAAAAAGAAAAAAAAGGAAATAATTTTAAATTCACATTTACTCTCCTAATTTTACATGTTGCTTTCCTTTCGTCCTTCTGCAGTCAAGTTACCTAAGAAGCATATGGCTTAAAAGAAAATATGCTGAGAAAAGATAAAAATAAAAGATGCCATTTATGTTTTGAGCCATCCTGATTCACCTGATCGCTTGTAGTTTTGGTAATACTTTCTCAAAGAAACTGTTGCTATGCACATGCTTTAACATGAGGGAAATTTCGAATGAAAAAGGGTGTGGCTGTACTTCAGGAAGACAGCA